TATATTCTTGTCAATATTTGTTGATCATTACAGTTGTTTTAAGTGTGAAAGAAGAGGTTGATCAGGTTAAAAAATTACTATGTACAAATTATAAGAAATAATTTTTAAGTAGCACACAAAATTTTATTATTGTTTATAAATGTCTCTCACTGTATTGTCTCCATATGACAAATAATAAACAAAGTGACAAAAGGAAATCATTTGAATTGATGTATGTGATTCTCTGAATTTTATTTTCCAGTGTTGAGTGGTATTTTATAATTTGTATTGAGAGAAAATGCTAATAACAAATAAAAATGAAGAATCAATAATATACAATCCTTTATTTTGTACAGTAGGATTATTCTGATTTTTCAGCTATTATAAGTTCCTCTGGGAAATAATAATAATAGTACATATTTTCTAAGTCAGAAATAAATAACTGCATCTACAATTTTTATTTTGCATTGTATGCTTTTCTTTTTATCAACATTAAACCTTTCAGGGCCCACAGGCCCTCTCCGAGACTTGTTCTCAGGGTCCACCAAATTTCAAAAAAAAAAAAATTATTTTTTCTTATGAAAAGATAGTTTTTTTTTTTCTAAACATTATAGGCTAAACAAAAAATTTTTTACCATCAATACTTACCGAGATATGGAGGCGTGAAGTTGACAGAAAATGCCCGGTATATGGTAACATCGCCGACTGCCGTCACCCGGTATTGTTTGTTTTTGTTTTTTAGGTAATATTTTCTATTATTTTTAATTTTTTTTTTCCAAGTAACTTTTATTGCCTGTGAGACCAATATTAACGTTATTTTATCATTTTTTTCTATTTATTTACTACACAATAACTCCACAAACACTTGTCCTTATATTGTTTATAATTGTTGTTTACACACACAAACGATATGAAATGTTGTTTATTACTATTTATCTATATTTTATATACACATATACAATCACAGGGAATGTTTCTAGATGTTCTGCAGCCGTGGAAGTCTTTGAAACTTGGTGTCATGCACAATGGTGTTTTACACTCTTCACACATAAAATGAGTGTCTGTGTGTTGTGTGCATTTTTTTTTTGCATGTGCACAGACGTAACACCTTTTCTGAGCCTTTTTCTTGAAAGCAGTAGCAGGCAATTTTACTAGGAAGTGATCACCATGCTTCAGACAAGAAGGTAGTTGTTGATAATTTAGTGGGCGGTCTATTGCAGGTGTTGTTCCTTGGTACTTGAATACTATTTGTCTGATGACAGACAAACCAAATTCGCCATATGATGGTTTGTTTCTGGTCCTCATCTTATACATATTATAAACATTGAGCATGGAAATGTCCAGAAGATGGAAAAAGAGTTTTATGTACCACTTATAACTCTTGCGAACACAATCAGCAAAAACCCCAAACTGCATGTCACATTTGTCCACTGAGCGCATATTGAGGGTGTATTCAATCACAGCTGCAGGTTTTAGAATTGGTTCATTGTCTCTCTATGCTGCCTGCCAGTGTTTGTCATTTCGTTAGGGTGAACTGATGACAACAGTGTGACATCATGTTTGTCATGCCACCGAAATGCCATTATGTCATTGGTAGCAAATGCCTGCACCTCACCTCTACGAGTGCCAGCGTCAAACCTGGGCATATGTTTACAATTTGCACACACTGTTCCACACACATCTGTCATGTTCACTCGCAAAAAAAATCACTGAGTGAGGGGCTTGTGTACCAGTTATCAGTATATAATACATGCCCTTTACCAAGGTATGGTCCTATCATTGTTCTAACCATATCACCAGAGATGCCCAATAACCTCCTAGTATTTTGCAATGTATAACTTCCAGTGTACACAATAATATCCAATACCAGACCACTGTAACAATCACAAAGCACAAACAACTTTATACCAAAGCGTTTCCTCTTACCTGGTATGTACTGCTTGAAAGAGAGTCTTCCTTTGAACAGAATTAAAGACTCATCAATTACAAGCTTCCTGAAGGGATAAAAATACATATTGAATTTCTCTTTCAGATACACAAACACATTCCTAATCTTATATAACCTGTCGTTTCTGTCAGGCCTGGTTTTGTCCGAGAAGTGAAGCATACGTAATAGTAGCACAAATCGATTCACTCCCATTATATCACTGAAACCTGGGGTTGCAATCAGGCGGTCTGTTGACCAGTATGATTTCACAGTGTGCTTATACACATATGGTATAAGCATTATTGTGGCAAAGAAAAAATACATCTCAGCCACGGTTGTCTCCTTCCACCTCTGTAGCCGTGAGTTTGGTGAACGTATTGTTTGCCATGGTGTACTCGTAGTATGTGTTGCTTTCCCTGACAATAATTTCCATCAGGGGTTCGTCAAAGAATAACTCGAAACATTCCAGTTCAGTGGCATTGTTCCCCAGTGTACAACATGGTCGTGTTCCACTTTGGCTTTCATCAAACTTGTGGGGATTTGGAACAAAACTGACAACTTCCTGCCAATCCCAAGTGCGGTCTGCTGGTGGGTACTGGACAATGACAGGTGGTTGTGGAGGTTGTGGTTGTAGAAGCTGGTGTGGTGGGTGGGCGAGGGGTGGTGGCCTTTGTTGTAGATCAGCTGAGGTAGTGGCATGGGTGGTAGCATGGCCCAATGCTGGTGCCTCACGGCTGGCACCACCACTACCACCACCATGCACATTTTCCATCCCAATTGCAACACTATCATCGTCATTTTCACTGTCTGTTCCTGTTGTACAGCGATGGGATGTACTCCGAGATGTACTCCTTCCCCTTGGAATAGCATATGGCACACTACCAGAGCGCATATATCGTCGTATATACTGACGCTTCACTCGAGAATACATGTATTGCACTTCACTATCACTACTGGAACTGGTTTCAAGAGCTTGTAGTTCATATTCACTATCACTATCATCTCCACTGCTCACATCTGAGTCCGGGATTTGGGAAAATAGGAGTTTCCACTTTGATTCTGGTACAATTGAACGTGGACAAGACGGCCCAGCAGCAGAGGTGGAAGGCTGAGGGTCGTCTGGGTTTTCCTCACTATTACCGATATTATGGCCATTAGTTTCAGTCAAAACCTCGCCAAAACCTTGAAACTCATCTTCACTAGCACTTCCATCTGTATTAGAACTATCACTGGGGAACAAATGTCCCAATTCACTGAGGAGTGAGGAGCTTCTTACTGCGAGGCATGGTGAACAAGGTCTACTAAAATGGCGTTCCCACAATGCGCCACTGGGTCCCAGATTTTTTTTCTACCATGCACACCAACCACACACACCCATTCTCTCACATCTAGGCCTACCAGCCTTTTCCCGTGAGATTTGAAGGTGCTAGAATTTATGCGTACTAGTACGTCATGGACACTGGCGTGTAAGCCATACTAGTACGGCCAAAACCCTGAAAGAGTTAAATCATTGAATGCGCATGTTTTAATTTTAAGTGGGAATTGTGTTTTTTAAATTCATTAGTAATTTACCAACACTGAGGTCCATGATTCGATCCCCAGTATGGGTAGAAACATTCGAGTGTGTTTCCTTAACCCTTTCAGGGTCGGTGCCATACTTGTAAGGCTTGAAAGCCAGGGTTGGTGCTGTACTTGAACACGTAAATTCTAGCACTTTCAAATTTAGTGAGAGAGCTGGTAGGCCTACATATGAAATAATGGGTCTGCATGGTCAGTGTGCACAGTATAAAAAAAAATCCTGCAGCACAGTGCATAATGAGAGAAAAAAACTGACTGTGTTTTTGGTTTAAAACAGCAACTTTGCCATGTATTTTTGTATGGTATTTATGGTAGTATTCTCGTTTTCTTGATCTCATTTGATAGAATGGAAGATGTATTACAGAAATGGAGATCATTGTGAAACTAATCAAAATCAATAGTACCTTGGAATTGAGCTCAAAGGAGCAGAAATGTTCGATTTTTTGCTGATGCTCAGGAGTAAACAAATCACAACTTGCGTCCAATACACAATAACTGGCGAGTCTAATACATGTATTCTTTCACAAGTGTGCTGATGTTATTTATACCATTTTTACAATAATGCATAACAGTAAATCTTCTGTTTTTTTGTGAGAAAAATTCAAAATGGAAAGCAAGTGTAATAGAAAAGGGGCCTGGAGACATGACTAATGAACAGAGAAAATGTTATTTTAGTGCCAGGAATGTCTATCTTGTTTATTCCTGACCTTATTTTGAAATTGGCATTGTTTGAAATTTGTGAAATTGGCCAAATTGCCAATTTCTGACCACTTTATTGTGTAGCTGAAATCTGTAAATGGGCAGCTTCTTGTACTCATTCAATAGAACAAAGGGAGTACTAGTGAAATAGCTATGATTTTAGTCGACTGGAACATTGGAATTGGTTGAAAATAGGGTTCAAAGTGGGGCGAAATTGCCGATGCGTATACATATATCGTCGAGACCGCTAACTTCGCGAGAGCATAATTCCATAAGTTTTCCATCAAATTTCATACTTTTGGTGTCATTACCACCGGGAAAGGATTCTCTATCATTTCATGAGAAAAACACAATTTTTTTTTCTGAAAAATTTTTGACCCTGAGAATGAGTTTAGGATCAGGGGGTCTTGACCCTGAAAGGGTTAAGACACCTACTGTCCCTGTTCACCTAGGAGTAAAATAGGTACCTGAGTGTTAGCCAGCTGGTGTGGGTCACATCTTGGGGACAAAATTGACCTAATTTGCCAAAAATGCTCTGCATAACAAGGGGCTTTCTGTATAGTAGTATGTCATTGATGTCAGCTAGGCCTGTACATGTTGTATATGTACTTGTACAAATAAATTTTATTATTGTAACAAGGCAGAGAGAGACAGAAGAGTCATTCAACATCATTCTTGTTGTTTTTCCAGCAGTTTACATTTCACACTTAGTGTTCCTCTTAACTGCAGCATTTAAAAATATCCTCATGAATTGATACCTGCTAATGGCAGGTTTTGTATCAACATTTAAAATACCATAGTTTGGAATTTGCAACAGGTACTTGCAACATCCTCAGAGGCAGTGTTGGAATCAAAGAACTTTGGTCTTCTTAGGCCATCATCTCTGAAGAAGGTCCTTAGTCACCCCAAGCTCAATGTATCTTCAGAGGGCAAAGTATTTGCTGCCCTCCAATCTTGGTAATGTTAATTATTGTTACAAAGCAAATTATAGTCAGAATAGTGTAAACATTAATGCTTTTATGAAGGGTTTATAGTAGGGCCCCGCTTTACGGCGTTCCGCTAATATGGCTATTTCAAATTATGACCAAAACTCACTATACGACACCTGTCTTTATAATATGGAGAGTGCCACCCTGTTTGTTTATATTCTCCATCAGCACATCTATTATGTCTGGAAACTTTCCAAAATTTCAAGTGTTTTAAAGTTATTGCATAATTTATATGTGCTCTGATAATAATACAGTGGACCCCCGCATAACGATATTTCAATCCAGAAGTCTATTTGGGTGCCGTTATTGACCGATTTTGTTCCCATAAGAAATATTGTGAATTAGATTAGTCCGTTTCAGACCCCTAAAAATACACCTACAAAAGCATTTACAAAAATACGCTTACATAATTGGTCGAGTTGGAAGCTGATCGTTATGAGGTGGTCCACTGTACTTGTGTACCTGTACCTAAATATACTTATACACTGTACTGGCATGCAGGTACACATTAATCACTAAGAGTGTCCCTCTAGTCTTAATGCCATAGTAATACAAAAAGTACATATTAATCACTCTTGGGCACATTAAATGTCATATTGTATGTTAATATAGACATTTTCATTAATCCATCTGTGATATTTTCTTCAAAATTATACAAGAAACACGTTACATAGCATATAAACATACTGTGTTTATATGCTATGTAACGTGTGTGCGAGGGGCTTGGACTTCCAGCAAGCGTGCATGAGTGTGTTTGATAGAAGTGAATGGAGACAAATCGTTTTTAATACTTAATGCGTTGTTGGAATCTGAGCAGAGTAACATTTATGAAGGGATTCAGGGAAACCGGCAGGCTGGGGTTGAGTCCTGGAGATGGGAAGTACAGTGTCTGCACCCCGAAGGAGGGGTGTTACTGTTGCAGTTTTATAACTGTAGTGTAAAGCACCCCTCTGGCAAGAAAGTGAGGGAGTGAATGATGAAAGTTTTTCTTTTTTGGGCCACCCTGCCTTGGTGGGAATTGGCCATTGTGTTAATAAATAATAAAAGTAATGGTTATATGCTATGGAGGTGTGGTTGCCGGGCAGAGGGAAAAGCAGAGGGAAAACATCCACCTTCCCTACAGTACTCAAAATAGCAAGGGTCACCCCGATCCACAAAGGAGGAGACCAAACAGAGTTGAATAACTATAGGCCAATATCCAACTTACACCCTCTCTCAAAAATCTTTGAAAAACTAATTCATAAACGAATCTACTCCTACCTTATCTCCCAGAACATACTCAACCCCTGCCAATTTGGATTCAGGCCTAATAAAAATACTAATGATGCTATTATACACATGCTAGAACATATATACACTGCAATAGAGAAAAAAGAAGTCCCACTGGGGATCTTCATTGACTTACGTAAAGCTTTTGATACAGTTGACCATGACTTGCTCCACGTAAAATTGTCACACTATGGTATAAGAGGGCACTCCCTCAATTACCTCAAGTCATACCTCAGCAACAGAAGCCAATATGTGTACGCAAATGGGGCAAACTCTTCTGCGCAACCAATTACAGTTGGTGTCCCACAGGGAAGTGTCCTTGGCCCTCTTCTCTTTCTCCTATACATAAATGACCTTCCAAATGCTTCGCAATTACTCAAACCCACACTATTTGCAGATGACACTACATACGTCTTCTCTCACCCGAGCCCAGTCACACTAGCCAATACTGTAAATACCGAATTACAGAAAATATCTACCTGGATGAGGACTAACAAACTTACACTAAACATTGACAAAACCTACTTCATTCAGTTTGGTAACAGAGCTACAGATGTCCCTCTTAACATAATGATAAACGGATCACCTATCACAAAGCTAACAGAGGGAAAATTCTTAGGAATCCACCTTGATAATAGACTCAAATTTCATACACATATACAACAAATTTCTAAGAAAATTTCCAAGACTGTAGGCATACTATCGAAGATACGGTACTATGTTCCACAGTCAGCCCTCCTGGCCCTATATCACTCTCTTATTTACCCCTATCTCACCTATGGAATTTGTGCATGGGGCTCAACAACAGTTAACCATCTCAGACCACTAATTACCCAACAAAAGGCTGCAGTTAGAATGATAACAAATTCTCACTACAGGCAGCACACTCCACCAATATTCAATACACTAAACCTACTCACCATACAAAACATCCATACTTATTACTGCACCTATTACATACATAGAACACTTAACTCTGATATTAACCCTCCCCTCAAACATCTCCTTGCCAACCTCAACAGAACACATGACCATAACACAAGGCACAGATCACTCTTTGATGTTCCTCGTGTTCATCTCACACTATGCAAAAACTCAATGCACATAAAAGGCCCTAAAATCTGGAATTCATTACCTGTAAATATAAAAGAAACACTACCTGTTTTATAAATTCAAGTCTCTACTCAAAGATCACTTACTCACCCAAAACCAAATAAATACTGAATAACTGAACCTTATAAATTGTATATCTTAAATGTTTCTCACAATTATATCACATAAATGTTAAACCTAAAACCCAATCTAACTTTATTATTTTTTAAATACACTACCTAACAGAATCCTTCATATGACCTGTCTTTGTAATACTCACTTGTGCTTTATAGTAATCTGTTTACATTAATGTTTTATCACTGACTTCATCATTGCTTAATTAATCTTAAGTTAATTTTAAGCCAGCCCGTAATGCTATGCATAGTATAAGTGGCTTTGGCATACTGCTCTTATCTGTATTTTTTTGTACCTCTGTATGTGTGCACAAATTTATAATAAATAAAAAAAAAAAAATAAATAGTTATTTATATTTTTTTTTATTAACACACTGGCCAATTCCCACCAAGGCAGGGTGGCCCGAAAAAGAAAAACTTTCACCATCATTCACTCCATCACTGTCTTGCCAGAGGGGTGCTTTGCACTACAGTTTCTTATAAAACTGCAACATTAACACCCCTCCTTCATAGTGCAGGCACTGTACTTCCCATCTTCAGGACTCAAGTCCGGCCTGCTGGTTTCCCTGAATCCCTTCATAAATGTTACCTTGCTCACACTCCAACAGCACGTCAAGTATTAAAAACCATCTGTCTTCATTCACTCCTATCAAACACGCTCACGCATGCTTGCTGGAAGTCCAAGCCCCTCGCACACAAAACCTCCTTTACCCCCTCCCTCCAACCTTTCCTAGGCCAACCCCTACCCCGCCTTCCTTCCACTGCAGACTGATACACTCTTGAGGTCATTCTGTTTCATTCCATTCTCTCTATATGTCCGAACCACCTCAACAACCCTTCCTCAGCCCTCTGGACAACAGTTTTGGCAATCCCGCACCTCCTAACTTCCTAACTATGAATTCTCTGCATTATATTCACACCACACATTGCCCTCAGACATGACATCTCCACTGCCTCCAGCCTTCTCCTCGCTGCAACATTCATCACCCATGCTTTACACCCATATAAGAGCGTTGGCAAAACTATACTCTCATACATTCCCTTCTTTGCTTCCAAGGACAAAGTTCCTTGTCTCCACAGATTCCTAAGTGAAACCGCTCACTCTTTTCCCCTCATCAATTCTATGATTCACCTCATCTTTCATAGACCTGTCCGCTGACACGTCCACTCCCAAATATCTGAATACATTCACCTACTCCATACTCTCTCCCTCCAATCTGATATCCAATCTTTCATCACCTAATCTTTTTGTTATCCTCATAACCTTACTCTTTCCTGTATTTACTTTTTATTTTCTTCTTTTACATACCCTACCAAATTCATCCGCCAACCTCTGCAACTTCTCTTCAGAATCTTCCAAGAGCACAGTGTCATCAGCAAAGAGCAACTGTGACAACTCCCACTTTATGTGTGATTCTTTACCTTTTAACTCCACACCTCTTGCCAAGACCCTCGCATTTACTTCTCTTACAACCCCATCTATAAATATATTGAACAACCACAGTGACATCACACATCCTTGTCTAAGGCTTACTTTTACTGGGAATAATTTTCCTCTTTCCTACATACTCTAACTTGAGCCTCACTATCCTCGTAAAAACTCTTCACTGCTTTCAGTAACCTACCTCCTATACCATACATCTGCAACATCTGCCACATTGCCCCCCTATCCACCCTGTCATATGCCTTTTCCAAATCTATTAATGCCACAAAAACCTCTTTTGCCTTATCTAAATACTGTTCACTTATATGTTTCACTGTAAACACCTGGTCCACACACCCCCTACCTTTCCTAAAGCCTCCTTGTTCATCTGCTATCCTCTTCTCCATCTTACTTTTAATTCTTTCAATAATAACTCTACCATACACTTTACCAGGTATACTCAACAGACTTATCCCCCTATAATTTTTGCACACTCTTTTGTCCCCTTTGCCTTTATACAAAGGAACTATGCATGCTCTCTGCCAATCCTCAGGTACCTTACCCTCTTCCATACATATATTAAATAATAGCACCAACCAGTCCAAAACTATATCCCCACCTGCTTTTAACATTTCTATTTTTATCCCATCAATCCCAGCTGCCTTACCCCCTTTCATTTTACCTACTGCCTTACGAATTTCCCCCACACTCACAACTGGCTCTTCTTCACTCCTACAAGATATTCCTCCTTGCCCTATACACAGCTTCCCTATCTTCATCAACATTTAACAATTCCTCAAAATATTCCCTCCATCTTCCCTATACCTCCAACTCTCCATTTAATAACTCTCCTCTCCTATTTTTAACTGACAAATCCATTTGTTCTCTAGGCTTCCTTAACTTGTTAATCTCACTCCAAAACTTTTTCTTATTTTCAACAAAATTTCTTGATAACATCTCACCCACTCTCTCATTTGCTCTCTTTTTACATTGCTTCACCACTCTCTTAACCTCTCTCTTTTTCTCCATATACTCTTCCCTCCTTGCATC